AGGGACCATGGTAAACATTTCGGAAATTTTTATTTTCGGGCGAAAAAAAGTCAAAAAAATTTCAAAATAGAAGGCTAATATCCACGCTTTTTGAGAAATTTAGGAGGTTTCGGGGCCCGGTGTCGAAAAGTTTTGAAATTCTATGGGATACCTCTCGGGGTTATATAATGTCATTTTGAACCATTTATGATCATTATTTGTTGTCATAAATGTTCGTGGTAGGCTTGGCTTAATAAAATCGGTGCAAGTTGTAAACCGGTAAATTGGGTGTTTAAAGGTAAATTGGATGGTTCCACCCACCCAATTGGACTCCCAGAGGATATTAGGGACCATGGTAAACATTTCGGCATTTTTTATTTCTGGACAAAAAAAAGTAAAAAAAAAATCAAAATTGAAGTCTAAATATTCACGCTTTTTGAGAAATTTTGGAGGTTTCATAGCCCAATATAGAAAGTCTTGATATTTTAGGGGATACATCTCGGGGTCATATAATGTCGTTTGGAACCATAAATGATCATTATTATGTGTTGTCATAAATGTTCGTAGTAGGCTTGAATTAATGAAATCCGTGCAAGTTGTAAATCGGTAAATTGGTCGTTTAAAGGCTAATTGGATGGTTCCACCAACCCAATCGGACTCCCGGAGGGTATTGGGGACCATGGTAAACATTTCGGCAATTTTTATTTCCGGACGAAAAAAGTCAAAAAAAAATTCAAAATTGAAGGCTAATATCTACGCTTTTTGAGAAATTTTGTAGGTTTCGGGGCCCGGTGTAGAAAAATCTTTATTTTTTAGGGGATACATCTCAGGGTCATATAATGCCGTTTGGAACCATATATGATCATTATATGTTGTCATAAATGTTCGTAGTAGGCTTGAATTAATGAAATCCGTGCAAGTTGTAAATCGGTAAATTGGACGTTTAAAGGCAAATTGGATGGTTCCACCCACTAAATTGGACTCCCGGAGGATGTTAGATACCATGGTAAACATTTCGGCAATTTTTATTTTCGGACGAAAAAAAGTCAAAAAATTCAAATATTGAAGGCTATATCCATGCGTTTTGAGAATTTTTGGAGTCTTCGGGGCCCGTTGTCGAAAAGTCTTGTAATTCAAGGGAATACATTCCGCGGTCATATAATGTCGTTTGGAACCATATATGATCATTATTTGTTGTCATAGATGTTCGTGGTAGGCTTAAAATAATGGAATTGGTGCAAGTTGTAAACCGGTAAATTGATTGTTTAAAGGCAAATTGGATGTTTCCACCTACCCAATTGGACTCCCGGAGGGTATTTGGGACCATGGTAAACATTTCGACAATTTTTATAGCCGGGCGAAAAAAAGTCAAAAAATTCCAAAATTAAAGGTTAATATCCACGATTTTTGAGAAATTTCGAATGTTTCGGGGCCCGATGTCGAAAAGCATTAAGATTTTAGGGGATACATCTCGGGGGCCATATAATGCCGTTTGGAACCATATATGATCATTATATGTTGTCATAAATGTTTGTGGTAGGCTTGAGTTAATGAAATCGGTGCAAGTTGTAAACCAGTAAGTTGGTCGGTTAAAGGCAAATTGGATGGTTCCACCCATCCAATTGGACTCCCGGAGGATATTAGGGACCATGGTAAACATTTCTGCAATTTTTATTTCAGGGTGAAAAAAAGTAAAAAAAAAAACTCCAAAATTGAAGATTACTATCCACGGTTTTTGAAATTTTTTGGAGGTTTCGGCCTTAGAGCAGGGGTGGATGAGATTCGAACTCATGACCTTTGTGTTACGCTAGCTCTAATACCATGTTAAAAGACCAAATCAATAAAAGCTTAACTTGATAATTGAATCCCAAGATCGGTTTATATACTTTATCTATATTCATGTTAATTTTTATGAGTAATGTAATTAGAATACAAAGTTTCCGAGACTAAATAAATACATATGGAGTAGTAAATATGTTTGATTTGTCTTGATATATAGATTTAAAAAGTAATATTTTTGTAAAAAAAAAAAAAAAAAAAAAAAAAAAAAAAAAAGGGTATTATGATACATATTTAAAAATATCTATGCTTAAAAAGTGTATTGAATGATTTACACAAAAATAAGTACTACGTAAGTAGGAATAACTAAAAGAAACGAGGAATACAATGATTTGTTTTTCAATTTTGTGTTTGGTACATGCACATTAGGTCACTTCCAAGAAAAGAGTCGTTGAAGAAATTGCTAGATAATGGAAGGTACCACTCCATATGAATGATATGATTGATATTCCTTTTCAGACGTTGCATTTTCAACCAAAGTTAGTTGTTTTTTTTCGTTTGGTTGGTTATGAAACAGGTATGTGTTGATGAAGAAACTCTTAGAGTAGACTACGGTCACTCTAAGAGGTTCGGTAACTTTCACTAACCTCTTGGAGAAGTTAAATAATGGCCCAAGGCGGTGATTTCTTGAAGAATTTGTAGTAGTGGGTACATCACGGGATCTAATTAAGGCGTTACATAATATTTAAAAATAGTCTATCAGTCATTTAATTACTAGTTTATAAGAGTAGATGATTTCAACTTGCAAAGTTGTCTTTCGTGATCTCGTAGGACAAATAAATATAAACAGTTATCAACCTTATCGGTTTAGGAAATGTTCAAAATGTTCCAAATTCAAAGGTATATTAAATAGATAGGTGGATTGCTAAACACCGCCAACAAAAATGATCACCACCGCCAACATTTGGTGTGAATGGACAATAAAACCCTTACTAGTTCACCATCCCTTCATCCTTCCGGCAACCCACAACCCCTTCCAACCGACGACCCACCACACCCCCCTCTATGACAACCCACCACCTTCCCTGGTCGGCGTGAAGGTGGTGGTTTTTTTTATTTTATTTTAGGCAACCGTGGTAACCGGAGCCCAAAACCGGTTACCGTGCGTGGTAACCGGAGCCAAACTTGGTTACTGTGGATGGTAACCAGCTTTGGGCTCCGGTTACCACGCACGGTAACCGGTTTTGGGCTCCGGTTACCGTGCACCTTAATCGATTCTATGGTAACCGGAGCCCAATTAAAATTGGGCTCCGGTTACCATGCACGGTAACCGATTTTGGGCTCCGTTTACCATACACGGTAATTGATTTTAGGCTTTGGTTACCGCGATTGCCTGAAAATCTGAAATTTAAAAATAAAAAAAATTAAGAAAAGAGGGAAGGTGGTGGGTCACTAGTGCGGTGGTGATCGTCGCCGGTCAGTGTGGTGGGGGTGGTGGTGGTGTTAGTCGTCAATTAGGGTGGTGGTGTCAAGGTGTTATTAGTGATTGATGGCAAGTGGGAAGATAGTAGTGAAGTACTAAGGACTTAATTGTCCATTCACACTAAATGTTGACGCTTTTGATAATTTTGAATGGCGGTATTTAACACCCCCCATTAAATAAGGTGCTTTTTGTTTTTAAAAAAAAAATAAGGTGCTTTTTTTTTGAGACAATATTAAATAAGGTGCTTTATACATACTTAACATAGTTGATTTTCAAGAAAGGTAATGGAAAGAAACCTACTTCAAAAAGGATAGAGGAGAAAAACCTTCCAAAATTGATCCATCAAGGTGTTTCCATATCCACGAGACAATCTCATACGTATGACGTTACTCATTAATATAAAGTATTATTGTATTTTATACATGCATTTTTGGCATGCTTAAATATAATACAACTCCTAATTAAAGTATAAGCTAACTAATTGTCCACATTGATGATTTTGGTAGGTTAGGTGGTAAGGCATTTTCCATTTCCGGTCTTAGATTAAATCTTCCTAAACCCTCTCCGCCATACAATTTTTGAACATGTACTCTTAGACACAGGTTAGGCAAACCGTTTTTGAATTAACAATCCGGCGATCCCACCTTGCTATAGACATGGTTGAGTTGGTTGTTACATATAAGGAAAAGGTTAATACTGGTCAATTAATCATGGTCTCAACCATAAATTGAGTTGGCTTGATAATGCATGTCAATGTCACACTTTAGGCACTTAGCTTGAGACAAACAAGCTAAGCTAAGCTAAGGTAGTTGATAAATCACCTACTAACACACAAATACTAATATTGTACGCGTTATGACAGCTTAGCCGACCAAAGTCTCCAACGAAGCCCAATTATCATCAAATTATCTGTTAATTAAGTAGGTATTATGTAAGGTCAAAAAAAATATTTATCTGTTCTTGAGTTTTTGTCAAGTTAAGCTTCATCTTCACCTTCGTATATCTTTTCATGATTTCTCTGTGTTCAAACAAATAAGTTGACTTGTTCCTTTCCATATGTATATTCTACTTCACAGTTTGGTACATAAATATACGTTGATTCTAAGCTAATATTAGGAATAATTTGACAGTGTTCACAACAGAAAGGAGGGGAAAAAAAAAAATCAGATTTACATGGTCTCCTCAATTTGTTTTTTCATTTTCAATAGTAGCATTTTAAATTTTAATGATTATCAATGTAAAAATTTGATCATTAATAGAGATAGAATAAATAGAGAGATGATGCATTTAGACGGTGATCTATAGGGTACGGGTGTACGACAGGGCGGTTGCACCCTCATTTCAGGGTAAAACGGACACGGTGTGGTGATGGGCAACTATCAATCCCCAAAATGAGTAAATTTGAGAGGGAATGTCAACCAAGATTTGCTCAAAGTTGTGTACACCACTACACCCCTCATTTACAAGTATGCCCAAAAATCCTAATTATAGCCCACGGTCCATTCACTAATTCAGAACATGGCAACTTGCCAACATGTCTTTAACAATGAAATAGACCTCTTTTGCAACTTGTACACTATTATCATCATTTTTAATGGTTGTCATCTAGACTAATGGGACTTTTTGGCAGATCTTTACATAATTCTTTTCATTTCAAAAGTGATTTTGGTGGGTCTATAACACCCAAAAAAAATGAAAACAATAAGAATAATGTAAAGGTCTTGACCTTTGAGGGATCGCAATTGGGACCTGATAACACTTGCACAAAACATCCAACACTCCAAATCAAATTCAACTTTGAAACCCATGTTACACAAAATCATTCCTAACAAAAGTTCTACATTTCGAGTCAGGAACCCATGGTGGCATCAGATTGGATAACATAAATTCAATCTCATACTGATGACTATGTGCAAACGATGCCAAAGAGGGTGTGAAAAACTCAGCTTTAACACCAGGGTGATAATTTCATTTACCTACAATGAAAGGGGGAAAGGGAGGGAGGGGGAGAAGACACGAAATCACCTAAATATAATTAACAGATAAAAGAAGACGGAGTTAAAGCCAGTAAGAAAAGCTAATCTAGGATATATGCTTTAGACTCTGCCTGTTAGAATCTGAAATCAGCCATGGAACACCAAGAAGACAATCAGCGCTCTAGTTTTGAAGCATCTTTGAACCGGAGTTAGGCCCCCAGCCCATAGGTGTATACATTTGCATATTATGCATGGGATGATTGGAATTGCCATAAGATCCCATTGTCCTGTCAATGTGATTACTACCATTCTCCTCAGATCCATCACTTGAAACCTCCTGTGAGGGGGGACTTTCAGCAGCCGGTAGTGCTGGTGCAGCAAAGTTCAACACATTAGCGTGAGGAACTGAGGGCATGTACTTTGTCTTTTTCCCATTTGCAATGAAGCTACCGACAATTATCTGACAACAGCTTTCGAGTTAGGATGCATAAAAATGAATTTCCCTAAATGGTTGAAAACATACGAACACAAAAGAAATGGTATATCACTATAATTTAAACACACCCCCGCCGGATGTTGACAAACACAAAATTTCTGAAGTTGAGCTGACAGAAGATGCGTCTACAAGAATCACTCCCCTCAAAGAAAAGAGAAGTATAAAAGGGGATGTATCTGACACAGCATATCAATTGGTATACTATTGCAACCTAGCATGGCAAGATAGGCAAACTACTTGGTCCTACAATATGCTGTTTAGCAGTCACCAAAACTTTATGAGAGAGTGCAACTGTTACATAATAATTATAGGCATTGTCAAACTTCTTGCACTGAGGCAAATCACATATGGAAAAGAAGATATCAAGACATTATTCCTCTACAAGAGTACAGAATCACAAAAGGAAAATTTGAACCAAAAGGTGCTTGAATATAGATTAGGTTTATAATTTTAACTAATACTTCGTATCATCTTCAAGCATTGAACTAAACTTCACATGGTAAGAAGAATTTGAATATAATCATGTAGCCACAAGGTACAAATCACACACAAGGCACAAGCAAAAGGCCGAATAATATACACAGGAATGTACATCTTCCGTTTCATAATAAATGCCCCAGTTTGACTTTTGCATACAACACTTGTACCAATGTTTGTGGTACATATAAGATCAGATGTGAGTACTTGTTAGAAACGTATTAGAGTATAGTTTCTGAATATCAATTTTTACTCATCTATTCTTGTTAATAATTAAAGATATTATTGTTTAAACTTCTGCATTGGTATATGCGCCAGTCAAACTTGGGGACTTATTTAAAAAAGAGTGAGGTGGAGGAACAATGAACATGACAGAGATATAAAAGAATGTGGATACCTGAACAGGAGAGGCAGCCATCAGCATCCCGGCAACACTACCACCTAACACTCGGCCATCTGAGCCAGCAAGAGATACACTCAAGCCACCTGATCGCACTTGGCCACCAGTATTCTCTGAGAACAGGAATGAACCTGACAGAGAAATAATTTCAAACCGTCCCTGCAACACATGTATCACAACTACATCAGTAAGAGAAATAGAAAATGCACCCCAAAACAAGCAGTAAATTACCCGCATAAAGTGTGAGAATATCAATCCTATCTAAACCATGTAAAAAATTTCCCATGAGAGGAGTCTAAACAGTGTAATTAAGTGCAAAATAATCAATATCAAAAGAACATACAAAGACATTTAAATCAAGAACCCAGAAGATAATCAATATGAAGATCTTCAAGCAGGTCTGGATGTCTATGATGAGCTGAAAACCAGTTTTTACATACTCATAAATCTAAGTAAAATGGGGCAATATGCATTAAATAATTGTAAATTTCTGCTAACCATGAGTTAGCAGTAATCAAGAGTGTAAATCAAAGTTAAACCATGAATTTGAGTAATTTAACAAAAAATTGTAATCAAGAGTGTAAATTAGTGTTGATTCATGAATTTGAATAATACAACAGAAACTGAAGAGAACCAACATCAAAGCCTTAAGAATCAAGGAGAGGAAAAAGAAGAAAATGGAAAAAATATCCACGTGCCTGACTGATCAGTGATCACTCGACACCTAAAATGCTAAAAAATGTGTTTGGACATCCAAGATTTACATGGTAGGGAAATTATGTCAAAAAACCTCTTCATTGCAGCAATTATTTTCTTTTCAGCTCATTAAGCACAAGTTAAAAATTAAATAAATAAAAAAATCTACACATAAAAATCTGTAAAAGCTACAAAGATACTAAGCATAAAACTCTCAAGATACAAGAAGAAAATGTCTTGACCACAGAGGTATTTTATCCCAAAATAAAACACTTATGCGTGGATCATGTAGAGATATAAATGCTTCTAAATACATTTAACTTAAAAGAAAAAAGGTACAGCAACATATATCCATGCAGCAAAATACCAGAAAGAACGTAAATTCACTTTGCATATCAGTTCACAATCAATCCATGATTAATGTTTCGGGTTTCCAAGAAGGTTCCATAAGAGATAAGAAGAAAAATAGGACATTTCAATCTGTTTACTAGCTTCATTGTAAAATTCCATCCTTTAAAAAGAGTTAATGGACCCTTATATAGTTGTCAACGTTCGTCCTTACTACAATTTTTACCAAAGTTCATCTCAATGTATTAGATATACAACATCCAAAGTGAGCAAAAAGAAAAGAAAGGAGACCAAAGTTTTACTTCTTTAAATTCAAAAGGCCAACCAAGAGCCACTCTGCAACAAACTTTCTACATTGTACCTGAATTCAAATAGATCCCACACACATAAAAAGACCTCCATAGAACATAAAAACCTTGAACTTGAGAATACAAGATTACAAGACACTCAACATTGACCAAGGGAATACTCAAGCAAAGCTCAAGAAAGAGACAAATTTTGATTAAAAGCCATCTTCCTCTATAAATTACCCCAAAATCAAAGAAAAACTGCAAGAGAGACTGGAAGAGGAAAATGGAAAATATATCGTATATAAAAAAACTACTCTGTATCAAGAATGCTAACTTGCTAAATGAGGAGCATAAACCTTGGCATAAAAATGATAGACAAAAAAGAATATTTCAAATGCATTCGAGACCAATATGAACATGCCACAACAATGCATCAGAAATAGAAGATAGAAGTTCAGCACAGGTATATGAACAAGATGTAACAAAATTCAATGGAGGAACCAAACTTTTTCATGACTATCTGTAGGGAAGGATATGAAGGGAAAAAGTACAGTCAACTCAAACTATGTTTGAGCATATGAAGTCTCTATCTTCCAGTCAGACCACAAGAACAGAATAGGTATGCTTACTAAAGTCTAAGATACTACAAAATACCAACACTTTCTAATAATTTACTTCAAAGTTCAAAATTAAAAACTTTAAGCACATTCGTTAAGAACCACAAGAGGTCAAAGTTTCACATAGGAGCCATATGACAGCTACTTAAAAAGAGAAGAAATATGTTACAACATGGAAGAGATAAGATTTTAAAAAAAAAAGGGAAGAAAAAAAAAGGGTCAGTGCACACCTCATAGTTCACAACACCTCCAGACATTGCAGGTTGTCGAAGGCTCACATTGCAAACGGAGCCATTAGCAGAAAGCACACAAACTGTACGTGGTCCCTGCTTGGAAAAGGCTACAATCTTGGATGCAATGTCCTGTGATTGAAAAACAACAAAAATGGTATAATAAATATATAGTGCCAAAGATAAGCATTGCTTCTATTCATGCAATAGTCCATTTTGGACAAACCAAATCCATAAGTTACTGTAGCTTCCGCAGAGTGAAGCAACCTAAAATCATCATTACTTCTGTAGCAGCTGTTTTCTATGAAAGAGCAAACATGCTTAAAAGATGCCATCCAACAACATAAATTTTCACGTGAATGTTGCAGAAGAATACATGTAGTCATTAAAGTTTGTGTCCTTGCAAAATTGAGTAAATTACAGATAACAAACCATGAACATAATCACAGATTTAAATAGACTGGTCACTGGTGTTCTAGAATTAGTACATTGAGTACAAAATTCAGCTAATGTCTTGGTTTTATTATGCTTATCCTAATGTTGCTCTTCTTAAAATAAAGTAAAATGGAAAAGACTCAACAGGAACACCTTTTAGTAGCAATGCATTATTGGCATATTGGCATAGAGTGATAGTCAGCATTTAGGACAACCAATTTGAGACACCAATATAGAGAGAGAACAAACGCTATTAAACAATGTGGACATTTAGAAGAACTGAACAACCAGCCAGTATAAGCTCAATTCATAGATAGACAGTTAGACACAGCAAAAAGAGAGCACCTAAAGAATAACCCATTCAATGAAGCTATCTTTGACTATACAGCATTGTCTGCACATTAGAAATCGACACATAATCTTAATGAGCTCATAATTTAATCTAGTAAATTCACATCTAATGCAGAAGTTTTCAGAATTTTCCAAACAGCCCATAATTTTCAGCCTAATAACCCAAAATAAATGGTACATTGGTACCTTTACCATTTTTTAAGAAGGCCCATTGGAAAGACTTGCTTGGAAGGCAAATTTCTGGATATTATCGAGTTTCTAAATACCAAGCCACCAATTCATTTATCATTACAGGAAATGGAACTTGGTATGTACACACACTTTTAAACATGCAAAAGAAAATAAATAGTACATATAGCATCAATATCAGCATTATCTTAATTCACTATGTCTCTAAAAAAAAGGTCTAACCTAGAGCAAGGAAAGGTAACTTAAGTCTACACAGCTTTTTCACCTTATATTTTGAAACAAAGGAAGTAGGAAGTACAAAACAATGCTATAAAGCCCAAACAAAAACACTTTAATCACATATCTTCAAACACAATAAATAACCAATTTGAATACACAATGACACGATGTGGGGTAGGAAAGACTAGTAAATAATATTCTACCTCCAACCCTTTGTCCCATCAAGGATCACCCAATTTCCATTTTAGTAAGTCCCAAACTTCCAAAGGATTGCCCAATTCCTTTGAAGGTCTTCCACTCAATTAAAACTATGAGCATTTCTCTCTTTCTTTCTTTTTTTTTTTAACTCTTTCAATGTCCGCATTCTTTCTCGTCAAAAAAGAATGAAAAAAAAAAAGAGAAAAAACTAATACTTTTATTAGTTTTTCTATCTTCACTCAATGGCCCAACAAACTGCATTTCCTTAATCTATGTGCCCAAATGAAATAGGCAATTTTTTTGTGGAATTGAAAGAGTAGTATATAAAATATTTTCAATATACACTTTGAATGTATGAAATTTGAAGCAGACTAAGGAAGGCTTTAAACATAGCAATTAAACTAAAGTTAAGATTCCAACAATTAAGCCTTATACATTCAGTACATACTTTTTAAATGAGAAATAGCACAGATTTATAATTAGATATTGTGACATTTTCGTGCACATAAATCACTATCATTTCCATATAGCATTAATTAACTCAAACTAAGTGAGCCATTGGCATTTAATATGATCATAAAGGGCACAAGATGCATAGAAAACAAGAGTAAGTATACCATGATTAACAACACATTTAACAATCAACTATTCAGATCACAATTCAATAATCACACCCAAATTACCATTTATCAAGTGTCACACATACCTCCCCGGAGTTCACCAAGATAACGTGCGGCGTAAAACCAACCCCACAGTTACCTGCCCAGAAGCAAAAACAAAGGATCAAACAAGTGACAATCATCAAAATCTCACATTAACAATACCAAATTATATCAGCAAAAACTCAAAACTAACAAGAACGCACCTAAAGCATCCAATTGCTTCTTACTAGACCCGGGGGGCCGGCCACGATGCCGCTTAGACGGATTATCCGAGGACGGAGCAGTCCCACTCGAATCCGCCTGCCCCCCACCACCTCCACCAGCAGCAACACCACCTCCACTTCCCATAACAGAAGAAGACATTGGAGTAGGAGCCAATCCCAAAGCAATGTTACTCCCCCCACCATCAGGGGAGTACTTTCTTGGTCTACCCCTTTTCTTCTTCTGCGAACCAGACGAATTCGGATCAACCCCGAACCCAGATTGCCTCATCCCAGAAGACCCATCTCCAGAATAAGGTGAATTTAGGGGTTCAAGACTAGTACCAGGGTTCTTCGAAGGAGGTGGGGTAGTTGTAACAACTTGTGAATTGAACGGAAACCTGTTGTTTTGCATCATAGAAGAAGATGAATTTGGGGTTGCGATCATTTGAGGTGGTGGTTGGTTTGAATTGGGACTTTGATAAGAATTCGAAGATGGGTGATGATGATGTTGTTGATGGTGTTGCATCATCAACCCAGGCGGTGGTTGCGGCGGCGGCTGATGATGGTGATGCTGGTGATGCTGATGATGCTGCTGGTGATGCTGCTGGTGGTGCTGCTGCTGATGCGCCGCTTGCTGGTGGTGTTGATGGTGGTGGGATGGTGGCGCAGAGGGCCCACGAGGCTCCATTTTTGTACAATAAACCTTGCTACAATCAAAGATACAGCCGCAAAAATCACGGGTTTTTGGTGGGTTTTTGAAGATAACTGAGATTACCCAGAAAAAAGAAGAAGAAATTGAAGAAATTCAGGTGGGGTTGGGGAGAATTTGGGGAAAAGGGGAAGTCGAAATTTTGGAATTTATTAGTGTGCTACTGCTATCTGTGAAAAAAAGGGTTTTTGGATATTTAGGGTTTTATATGTTGCTTTTTTTTTCTTTTTTTTTTTTTTTTTGGGTTTCTCTTTATCTTTTTCTTTTGCTTGCTTTTCTTTCCCACCGTCTTTTTTTACTTTTTTTTTTTTATTGGTCCCACTTAATTGATTTAAATTTTCTGATTTTACGGAGTAGTTTTTAATACGAAGTACCGTATATAATTTATACGTTATACTGTACGGAGTATAGTGTATGGTAAATACTAAATAGGTTGGTAATTTTGTATGTTAGTTTGGTCGAATTAGCTTATAAAAGTTATTTGAATTTGTATGTTGTATGTTTTTTGTGAAGAGAAATTGTAAATTATTTGTGATAGCCTCTTGTCAATAAGCAATTAGTACAAAAATCAAGTATTTAAGATATCTAGCACCATAAATGAAACAACCTTGAAAAATATTAAATATTTACACTTAATATAACTATTAGTCGTAATCAATTACAAGTATCAGTATCTCTTTAGAGTAACATTGTATTCAATGTACTTAGATTAGATAGGGTGAAAGTGTCTTATCAAACCATAATCTCACACAAAGTCAAAATTATTGAGCAAGACTTGTTATGAGTGTGGAGGGAATCTTCACCCCTAAGGTATACATGATAAGGTATAAGATACAATTTTACTATTAGACCAAGTACTATATGTTACTAGAATTCAGATATTGGTGCAATCTTAAAGGAAGGAAAAAAAAAAAAAAAAAACTTAGTCACTTAGCACAAGGCCGCCCCTTTTTTCTCTTCTCTCTCCTCTCTCTTCTAGGGTTTTAATTTTCTTGGCCGTTTAGGCCAGAAATAGTCTAATTTCTTCGGAAATTAGACTATTTCCGACCCTTTTTCTTTAATTCAATTTAGTTTTTTTTTGTTTTGTTTTACGTTTTGGTTTATTTGTTTTGTTTTATTCTCTCCATCTGTGAGAGTATGTCCCAATTTTCTGGGATTTTGATTCTCATCTATGGATGAGAATTTTATTTTTAGGGTTCTTATAATAATTGGGAAGGTGATTTGGATTCCTATGGATCTGGGATTTGTCATCAACCGGTCGATTAAAACATCAACGCATATTGCGGAGGTCTCAATTTGGAAAGATGCAAAGACATCGAAAATCATTGCTCGAGTCAAGTTTGAAGCGGTGGAGTATGAGCTATGCCAAATATGCAAATTAGTTATGATTTTGATTGTAAAAGTTATGATATTTTCTCTAAAACTGTGGTTTACATATCTTTATTATTGTAGATGCCTTATAGCTTTTATTTAATGATATTATTATTCCCGTTAAAAAAAAGGCAAAAAAAAAAAAACAGACGAAATATACACTATCTTCCTAATAAGGAAATATCTAACATCATGATCGTGAATTCATTCTTCAAATGTATTATATGTTACTCTAGTGATAAATAGACCTCTTTTAGTTTTAAAGAGGAATTGTATGTATTGTAACAAATACATTTTTTTAAGTGTTTAGAGAGCCACAAGGGTGGGGGTGAAAATCGATCCCAAAATCTTCTGAATTGGGAAGAAAGCTTTAACCAGTTGAGCCCTCGGCCTCAAAAATGTACTTGTAAGATATATACAATGGTAAATAAGAATAAAAAAAAAATGGAATCTTCATGCTCAAAATCCGATTCAAGCAGTCAATTATTTAGTACCTACATAATAGCGGGAAGTATTTCATGACCCTTAGAATTTAGTACCTACATAATAGCGGGAACTACTTCATGACCCTTAGAAGAGCTCATTCAAAACTTATTCAATCTAGTGCTCAACGAAAACAAGAGTTGTGATTTCAATGACCAGAGATAATTGAGAATGTATAGCTTAAAGACACGAAAACGAAATTTGTCAATTTGGATCAACCTTTAAAAGGGCTCACTCAGGACTAGCTCAAACAATTGCTCAACAAAAAACAAAAGCTGTGATTCATCTCCCGATAAAATAGAGTTAGAATATTGAATTTTTAAATCATAGTCATTTTTTTTTACAAATTTGTTGTTATTTATTTATTTTACCAATCTGATCAATTACCCACGAAATACAATATTTTAAATACGTTTGCATTATACACTAGCACAAAGTTGTGATATTATCTCCCGATAAATGAGAGTTAAAATATTGAAGGTTTAAATCATAATTGTCAATTTTTTTACTAAATTGTCGTTTTTTTGTTTTTGTTTTTGTTTTTTTTTAAACCAATCTAATCAATTGCTATGTAGAATACAACATTTTAAATATGTTTGCATTATACACTAGCACTACACCAACCACCCCCTTTGTGAGTTGTGATTGAAACTTCTATTTTCTCCTTGTTTACCTCTTTTTTGTATTACTATGACCTTTCTGTATTTCTGACCTTTTTCTCATTCTCCAGCTCAATTTAATCATAAAAATGTTCTTATAATTACCCAAAAAATGCAAATTTCAAATTCAATTAATTCCTCACATTTGAATCGATAATCGGTACTTGAATTTTGGGGGATTGGAAACCCTAGATCTCGGCTACATTTCTGCGATCGATTTTTCGAAGTTCATTTTAGGGTTTGGATATTCTTGGTGAAATTTAGATCCACTGGTTCAAATATGCCGGTGGCAGCTTCTGCAATCTACTTCTTGAATCTTCGTGGTGATGTTCTTATCAATCGCCTCTATCGTGACGATGTCGGGTAATTTTTCTATCGATTTCTATCTATTTGCGTTGATTGAATGTGATTATGATGTTGAATTTGTGTATTTGGTGATATTTGAAGTTTAATTTGATTCATATGTGATTTTGTTCAACTTACTTGGTGGATTAGTTCGATTGTTAGTTTAATTGCTTGAATTGTTGCTCCTGTTTTGGGTGATTTATGCCGGTGATGGTGTTGATCTACTTGATTTCGAGTGATGGATGTGATTTTACCGATTTAGAAGCTGAAATTACAAATTTAGATTGCTGTTTAGTAATTGCATGGAGTTGTTGAATAATACAATAGGATTGTATCAAAGTGGATGTGAATGTACGCTTTGTCTGTTGATGGTGACCTGACCTGGGCTGGCAGTACCGCATAGTAATTCGAGACAATGCCGATTAATGAATCGAGTTTTGTTTAGGAGTTGCTTATTTGTTGCTGGGTAGCTATCAATGGATACGTACAGAACCGGACTGTCTGTTTTAAATGCTCCTTCATGTGCTTTGTACTTGAGCTAATGATGCCATGACGGAGTGTTTAGGAGTGAAAGATTGGAAGTTTTGGAGTGATAGAGCTGAAGATTAATGAGTACTGTAGTAAAATTTTGAATCAGAGCAGACAAACTTGCTCATATCTCTCATTAGTACCAGTCTGACTCATGACGTCATGTAGGCATTCTGCATTGTTATCCTGTGTCAAGTAAGTTTAAGACTAAACCATACTTTATAGCAGTGACTGAGAGGGTGTGCCTGGTTTGGAAGAAATGCAGAGTAGTATTTCAGTGAGGAGGGGGGATGTAGGTTCGTAAGTGTTGGTTGAAATGGGGGTAAAAATGAAGTAAATTAAGCTGCTTTCCCAATAGGGTAACTAGTAGCGTTAACTCTTAAGAGTAAATATACTGCCTGTTACCCTCTGTCCTCTCTAGCTTCGTCACACCATCACTTCCATGATCAACCAACTTTCCTCTACCACAACCGTTTTCACCCCAGGCCCATCACCAATCTTACACCTCTGACCTCACATCTTTCTGATCTATGTCCCCCCTTCCCTCCCCCCCCCCCCCCCTCTTTCTTCAATAGGTTTGAGATCTAATTATGGTGTTCAAGGCCGTGGTAATCTTTTTTCACCTTGCTCTTCATTCCTAACAATTATTTTCTTAATTGATAAAAGGGTTGAAATAAAAAGGTTGGAGATATATTCCTATCAAGGATGGAGTTGGTGTTGTGGAGGAGAAAGAAAGAGAGGAGTCAGGGAGAATATATTACTATGGGAATAATTTCAAACGTGGATAAAAGAGGAATTATATACCTTGGGTTAATGGCCCCCCAACCCAAACTTATACTTTCAATCTAGGCATGCTTTTGGTGTTTAATCTGTCTGTAACCTCAACAGCTGTTTTAGTTTGTCTACATAAAGTGTGATACCTGAAAATTATGGTATATGTTACTCAATTTCGAAATCTGCAATCTGGTTTATGAACCATCGGACCTTGTAGTTTGATGCATGATTTGCATCTTAAATATTATTGTGTGTTACTGTGAATTCTTACCCCACCCCCTCTTCCCAAAATAATGTTGTTTACTACAAGACTCGAGAGATAATGGATTAAAGAAGTGTTACTTGATAAATTGGAGTATGCAAACTCACTATTGCCCTGAAGAGTGAGGCTTTTGCATTGTTTCTCCTTGATGCATTTTGTGAACGACTATGAACTGTTTTTCTACAGGGGCAATATGGTTGATGCATTTCGGATGCATATTATGCAAACAAAGGAACTTGGTACTTGTCCTGTGAGGCAAATAGGAGGCTGCTCCTTCCTTTATATGAGAATCAGCAACGTGTACATTGTAATTGTTGTCAGCAGCAATGCTAATGTTGCTTGTGCTTTCAAGTTTGTTGTTGAGGTAATTCTTTGTTATTTTTGGGATTGAGTTCCTCTCTGATGATGGATTTTCAAAGAGTTGTCCTTCGTATATCACTCTCCTCTTTTATTTGATTTCTACTATCTCTCTTCCATAATTATCTGTCCAGTCAGCGTTCCTGAAGCTGCTACTAACTCAACGGCATCATCATGAATTATAGTTCACTTACTTCATTCTGATTGTTAATAGATTTAGATTCATCCTGAAAACACCAGCTGCCTCTGATTGGTTGAAAAAATCATGAATTCTGATTTTATATAGATTCAGGCTTTCTCATGAAATTAGTCATGCTATCTCACAAGTCAAATTTAGCATTTGACTTGACCCTTCATCTTGTTAGCTAGATGCTATGATTAGTTGAAGTAGGAAGCTACTTTGAGAAACAAGCAAAATACTAAATAAGACGAAGATTTGGCTTAATAGCTCGTTAAGTAATTTGAGTGATAAAGTTGGCTAATCATGAAATTTCAACTCTTTGCAGGCTGTGAATCTTTTCAAATCATACTTTGGCGGTCAATTTGATGAAGATGCTATTCGTAATAATTTTGTCCTCATATACGAGTTGCTAGATGGTATGTAATGCATATTATGTAATTTATTTTGACAGACCTTTCTGAATTTATTTCTTATTGTTTGTTGTGTCTAACACATGAATTATATATGTTATCATGCAGTATGTATTTCTACTGCCAAAAATGATATAGTAGTGATT